GCCCCTCCGGGGGGGCTGCCCCTCCCCCCGCCCACGCCGACCCCCCCCAGTCCCCCCCACCCCCGCCCGGTGCTCGGCGCTTCACGAACCCCCCCAGAAAAACCCCAAAACCCCTCCCCGAACGCCCCCGGCGCCCTCCCCGCGGGGGCGGCTCCGGGGCCGCGCGTGGGCGAAGCGACAGCGACAGACGCGAGCGCCGGGAGCGGGGCTGGCGCGGCCGGCGACACCGGCGCTGTCCCCAGCCCGGGGGGACAACGCGGGCGCAGCCCCGGCACCCCCAGCGCTGCTCGCCAGGAACCCCCCGAGCCGCGGAGCGCTGTCCCCGAGGATGTCACGGCAGCGTTTATTGGTGGCTGTCGCCTCTGTGTCCCCTCCCCTCCGGCTCCTCGTCCTCCCCGAGTCCCCGGGATTCCGCCCGGCTGCTCCGCCCGGAGCTCCAAAGTCACCAAATCCACCCCAAAAACACTCGCGGGATCCAATCCGGAGCGAACCGCGGAGATCCACGCCGGGGGCCGGGTGGATCTCACCGTCCCAGTCCGTCCCAGTCCGTCCCAGTCCGCCCCAGTCCGTCCCAGTCTGGGAGCTGCTTCCACCGCGTGGCTCCGGCCGGTCCCCGCTGTCGCTGTCCCCTCGGTGGCCGCGGGGCGGGGACGGGCAGGGGGTCCCGGCCCCTCCAGGACCCCCGCCCGCCTACGGGGCCGCGGATCCGTTGGGAGCGGCCGCCGGGGAGCTGCCCGGGGCCCGGCGGGGCCGCGCGTCCGGCGGCGGCTGCCGCCTCCAGAGCCGGTACTCGCCGATCTTGCTCCTGTAGCGGTGGATGAAGAACGCCAGGCCCAGGAGGGCGAATGCCGCCAGCAGCACCCCCGAGAGCACCGGGAGCAGCGGGAACGCGTCCTCGTCTGGGGGAAACGGCAGCGGGGTCAGCGGGGAGGGGGCGGCTGCGCCCCGAGACCACCCGGAGCCCCAAAACACCAAAGGCCTCCAAGATCTCCAGGACCTGAGACCTCCAAGGCACCCAGAACCCCAAAGACCACCCAGGACCTCCAATACCCCAAAGAACCTCTGGGACCACCAGGAGCCCAGAAACCCCAAGGACCCCCAGAACCCCAAATACCCCAAAGACCCCCAGAAGCTCAAACATCCCAAAGAACCCCAAGAACCGAAATATCCCCAAGACCCCCAGAACCCCAAAGACCCCCAGGAGCCCAAAGACCCCCAGGAGCCCAAAGACCCCCAGGAGCCCAAAGACCCCCAGGAGCCCAAAGACCCCCAGGAGCCCAAAGACCCCCAGGAGCCCAAAGACCCCCAGGAGCCCAAAGACCCCCAGGAGCCCAAAGACCCCCAGGAGCCCAAAGACCCCCAGGAGCCCAAAGACCCCCAGGAGCCCAAAGACCCCCAGGAGCCCAAAGACCCCCAGGAGCCCAAAGACCCCCAGGAGCCCAAAGACCCCCAGGAGCCCAAAGACCCCCAGGAGCCCAAAGACCCCCAGGAGCCCAAAGACCCCCAGGAGCCCAAAGACCCCCAGGAGCCCAAAGACCCCCAGGAGCCCAAAGACCCCCAGGAGCCCAAAGACCCCCAGGAGCCCAAAGACCCCCAGGAGCCCAAAGACCCCCAGGAGCCCAAAGACCCCCAGGAGCCCAAAGACCCCCAGGAGCCCAAAGACCCCCAGGAGCCCAAAGACCCCCAGGAGCCCAAAGACCCCCAGGAGCCCAAAGACCCCCAGGAGCCCAAAGACCCCCAGGAGCCCAAAGACCCCCAGGAGCCCAAAGACCCCCAGGAGCCCAAAGACCCCCAGGAGCCCAAAGACCCCCAGGAGCCCAAAGACCCCCAGGAGCCCAAAGACCCCCAGGAGCCCAAAGACCCCCAGGAGCCCAAAGACCCCCAGGAGCCCAAAGACCCCCAGGAGCCCAAAGACCCCCAGGAGCCCAAAGACCCCCAGGAGCCCAAAGACCCCCAGGAGCCCAAAGACCCCCAGGAGCCCAAAGACCCCCAGGAGCCCAAAGACCCCCAGAACCCCAAAGACCCCCAAGACCCCCAGGAGCCCAGGACCCCCGCGCCCCCGGTCCCGGACCCTCACGCACAGTGCACCCAGACGGTGACGTTGCGCTCGGCCGTCCCCAGCGCGTTGGTGGCCCGGCACAGGTAGGTCCCGGCGTGGCCGCGGGCGGCGCGGAGCGCGGCTCCCGGCACCAGGGAATTCCCGTCCCTGGAGCAGCTCACCTGCGGCTCAGGTGCGCCCTCGGCCCCGCAGCGCAGCGTCCCCTCCTGCCCCTCCGTCCAGTTCTGCTGCGCGGGGCAGCGCAAGGGGCCCAGCCGCGGTTTGGCTGCAGGAAACGCCGGGATAAGTGGGATAAGGAGCGGGAAAAGGTGGGATGGGGAGTGGGAAAATATGGGATGGGGATAAGAAAATGGAGGGATGAGGACCAGAAAAAGGAAGGATGGGGACAAGGAAAAGGAAGGATAGAGAAAAGGAAAAGGTGGGATAAGGAGTGGGAAAAGCCGGGATAAGGAGCGGGAAAATATGGGATGGGGACCAGGAAAAGGTGGCATAAGGACCAGGAAAAGGAGGGATAAGGAAAAGGGATAAGGACCAGAAAAAGGTGGAATAAGGACCAGGAAAAGGTGGCATAAGGACCAGGAAAAGGAGGGATAAGGAAAAGGAGGGATAAGGACCAGGAAAAGGATGAGGAAAAGCTGGGCCAGGGACAAGGAAAAGGCGGCACAGGGGCCGGAATTCCCGCCAGGAACGCGGGATTTGTGCTCTCACCCAGCACTCGGACCCGCTGGGATTTGTTCCTGGAGGTGTAGGGCTCCATCTCGGCCACGCAGGTCACCTCCAGCTCCCGCTGCGTGTCCTCCTCCGACACCGGCAGCCCGAAGGTCACCGGGGGCTGCCCCTCGGCCCCCGGGACGGCCCGGCCCCGGGCCAGCACCCGCAGCCGGATGTCCCGCACGGCCCCGGCCGGCAAGGAGCAGCTCCCCCTCAGCTCCGTGCCAGCCACGGTGGCGTTGGCGACGTCCAGCAGCAGGTGGCATAAGTACCAGGAAAAGGAGCGATGGGGACAAGGAAAGGCTGGGATGGGGACCAGGAAAAGGAGGGATAAGGAAAAGGAAAAGATGGGATGGGGCCAGGAAAAGGTGGCATAAGGACCAGGAAAAGGAGCGATGGGGACAAGGAAAGGCTGGGATGGGGACCAGGAAAAGGAGGGATAAGGAAAAGGAGGGATAAGGACCAGGAAAAGGACGAATAATGAGGAAAAGCTGGGCCAGGGACAAGGAAAAGGCGGCACAGGGGCCGGAATTCCCGCCAGGAACGCAGGATTTGTGCTCTCACCCAGCACTCGGACCCGCTGGGATTTGTTCCTGGAGGTGTAGGGCTCCATCTCGGCCACGCAGGTCACCTCCACCCCCCGCTGCGTGTCCTCCTCCGACACCGGCAGCCCGAAGGTCACCGGGGGCTGCCCCTCGGCCCCCGGGACGGCCCGGCCCCGGGCCAGCACCCGCAGCCGGATGTCCCGCACGGCCCCGGCCGGCAAGGAGCAGCTCCCCCTCAGCTCCGTGCCAGCCACGGTGGCGTTGGCGACGTCCAGCAGCGGCACGGGGACATCTGCGGGCGACAGCGGGGTTTGGTGGCGCCGCGGCGGCGCCGCGGTGGCACCGGCGCGGCCGCGGCGCGGTCACTCACAGAAGGCCTGGGCGGTGGCCGTGGCCTGGAGCTCCTCGCTGCCCACGCGGACGGTGCAGCCCAGCTGGACGCTGCCCTCGTGGGTGACACTGGCCGTGGCGGTGGCCTGGCGGCCGTCCTGGCTGAGGGTCACCGGCCAGCCGCGGCCGTTGGCGGTGATGGTGACGTTGGCGTCGGGGATGGCGCGCCCCAAGGTGCAGGTGACGTTGAAGCGCTGGTGTGGCTTCGGCTCCGGGGGTGACAGGGACAGGCGGGGACCCTCCTGGGGGGCTGGCACGGGGAGGGGACACTGGGTGAGACCGGGTGGGAAAATGGGGAAAATAACGGGGGAAATGGGGGGGAAATAGAGAAAAATGGGGAAAATAGCGGGAAAATAATGGGGGAATCAGTGGGAAAATCAACAGGAAATGGGGAAAATAACGGGGGGAATGGGGGAAAATAGAGAAAAATGGGAAAAATGGGAAAATAACGGGGAAATGGGGGGAAATAGAGAAAAATGGGGAAAATAGCAGGAAAATAATGGGGGGAATCAGTGGGAAAATCAACAGGAAAAGTGGGAAAATAATGGGGGAAATGGGGGGAATCATTGGGAAAATCAACAGGAAAAGTGGGAAAATAATGGGGGAAATGGGGGGAATCAGTGGGAATAGAGAAAAATGGGAAAAATGGGAAAATAACGGGGAAATGGGGGGAAATAGAGAAAAATGGGGAAAATAGCAGGAAAATAATGGGGGGAATCAGTGGGAAAATCAACAGGAAAAGTGGGAAAATAATGGGGGAAATGGGGGGAATCAGTGGGAAAATAATAGGGGAAATGGGGGTAAATAGCGGGAAAATAATGGGGGGAATCAGTAGGAAAATCAACAGGAAAAGTGGGAAAACAGTGGGGAAATGGGGGGAAACAGCAGGAGAACAGCCCTGGATGGGGTGGGGTGGTTCAGGGGTGCTGGGGTGAAAGTGGCCTGAACTACAAAATCCTTATGAAATCCCAGTGAAATCCCGATAAAATCCCTATAAAATTAGGTTCAAATCAATGTAAAATCTCTATAAAATTCTATCCCATCCCATAATAATTTTACCTTCTATCCCACGTAGCAAATAATTCTCTCTAAACCCTTTTGTCTAAAGGTTTGCCTTAACAAATGACTCATTTTCTTATCAATACATCAATTTCCCACCCTTTATCCAAAAATCGGATCCAGCCACCCCTGAGCTCCTCTTGGAGAAGGAATCCAGAAATTTGGGGTGTCCTGGGGGGGTTGGGGGTCCTTTGTGCACCTCAGGGAGCTTCCCCGGCCAGGAATTCCCAATTCCTGGAGAAGTTTGGCAGGAAAAACCTCCCAGGCTCATCCTCATCCCTGAATTTCGGTGTTTTCCCGGCAAAACATCCCCGGCCGCGGTCACGGAGATGCTGGGGAAGCCCCCAAAACTCGAGTGAAGCTCCCCCAGCAGGCAGAGGAAACCCCCCGGGGGGGCTGGGAGGCTCCAAAGCGCAGGGGAAGCAGAGAAAAAAAACCCAAAAGTGCGGAGGAAGCCCCCAAAAGTGTGGAGGAAGCCCCCAAAAGTGCTGAGAAAGCCCCCAAAAGTCCGGAGGAAGCCCCCAGAGGTGCAGAGGAAGCCCCCAGAGGTGCGGGGGAAGCCCCCAGAGGTGCGGAGGAAGCCCCCGCGGGCCCTCGCAAGCCCCCCGGGCCGAGCCCCCCCCGGGCGCCGGGGGGGGGGCTTCGCCGCCCCCAAAGCGCAGGGGAAGCAGAGAAAAAAAACCCCAAAAGGTGCGGAGGAAGCCCCCGCGGGCCCTCGCAAGCCCCCCGGGCCGAGCCCCCCCCGGGGCCGGGGGGATTTCCCGGCCCCCTTGAGCGGAACCCTCCCTCCCTTTCCCGGAACGGGCTCAGGAAGGGAGGGAGGGAGAAAGTCCCGCTGCTTTTGCATGGATTTCGCAAGGATCGACAAAATTCCCCGCTCCATCCCGCGGCGCCACCTCCGCCGACGGCGACAAGCGGCGACACGCGGCGGCCGCGCGCGCTCCCGCCCCGGGGGTCGCGCGGTGCCACCCGCGGTGTCCCCGTGTCCCCTCACCTGCCACGACAGCCAGGGTGCCCAGGGCCAGCGCCAGCAGCGCGGGGGCCACCATCCCGGCGGGGACAGCGGCTCCCGGTCCCGCGGCGGCGCCGGGATGCGCCGGGAGCAGCGGGGGCGGGCCGGGCGGGGTCGGTGGGGTCAGGGTCCCCGGGATGGAGCCCGTGCGGGCCCGGACCCCGGGAGGGGTCGGTGCGGGTGCTCCGGGAAGATTCGGTTCGGTTCTCCGGGAAGGTTTCGGTTCAGGTTCTCCGGGAAGATTCGGTTCTGGTTCTCCGGGAGCACCGGGAAGGTTTCGGTTCAGGTTCTCAGGATGGGTCGGTTCCGGCTCTCTGGGAAAATTCGGTTCCCCGGGAGCTCCGGGAAGGTTCGGTTCGGGAGCACCGGAAAGGTTTCGGTTCGGGTTCTCCGGATGGGTCGGTTCCGGCTCTCCGGGAAGATTCGGTTCGGGCTCCCCGGGAGCTCCGGGAAGGTTCGGTTCGGGAGCACCGGAAGGGTTCGGTTTCGGCTCTCCGGGAAGATTCGGTTCGGGTTCTCGGGGAGCACCGGGAAGGTTCAGTTCGGGCCCTCCTGGAAGATTCGGTTCGGGTTCGCCGGGAAGGTTTCGGTTCGGGTTCCCCGGATGGGTCCCTTGGGGCTGTTCCGGGTCCGTCCGGGTCGGGGTCTCGGGGCCGGCTCTGGGCGCGCCCCGCACGCCCCGTCCCTCTGTCCGTCCCTCGGTTTCTCTCTCCGTCTGTCCGGCCCCGGCCCGTCCCGCTCGCGCTTTTATCCCCGGCCCGTCCCCGGCCCGTCCCGCCCCCACAAAGACCCGGGGCTGCGGAGACTTCGTGCGGGACCTGCTCGGGGGGCCCGGGGGGGCTCCGGGGGCAGTTTCCTGTCCCGTGCCCGGGATGGGACAATTTCCCTGTCGCCCTTTCCCTCCTGCCCCTCTGCCACGCCCCCCTCGTCCCCTCCTTGTCACCCTCGGGGCCCCATCCTGTGTCCCCAAACCGGGGGGAGGCTCACCCGCCTGTCACCCCCCGGGGGTGGCTCCGGGGCCACCAATTGGGCGCCGCTGTCACGAGGGCTGCGACTTCCTCTATTCTGTCGCTTTTTGACGTCGGGGGATTTTTGTCACCCCTGGAACCGTGGGAACATCCCTGATGTGCCCGGGATGTCCCCAGCACGGTGCCAGCCCAGGACACCATCCCTGATGTCCCCCGGATGTCGCCAGTGCCCCGGTGGTGGCACCCAGCCCTGCCACCCTCCCTGCTGTCACCTCCAGGCCGGTGACACTTGTGACAGCCGCGGGTGCAGGTGACAGTCCCCTCCCCGCGGCCATCCCCGTGGATTGTCCTTGTCCCTGGAATTTCGGAAATGCCGGGAGCCTCCCTCGGCCTTGGCCGGCGTTTGGAGGCCACGGGTGGCACAGGGACACTGGGGACAGGGCCAGGTTGCCAGGGACACGGGGGACAGGGATGGCAGGGACACCACCGGGGGGGGGCACGACAGGGACAGGGACACCAGGAGCGCGCGGGTCAGGGGTAGGACGGGTGGGGACAAAGGGGACACGAAGGCGCTGCCAGCTCCGAGTCAACAGGACGTGCCACCCCCACCTTCCCCCGCAGGACGTGGGCCGGTGCCAGCGTGCCCTGGTGCCATTGTCACCTCCCCTGTCCCCTCCGGCCTCTTGCTGATCCCCGCTGCGACCCCCGGGGTGTCCCTTGGGGTGTCCCCCTGTCCCGGGGTGTCCCCCTGTCCCGGCGTGTCCCCCGGGGTGCCCTCTCGGTGTCCCCCTGTGCCCCCAGCCCCACTGGTGGCCTCTCCCCGGCCCTGTCCCCTCCTGTCGCCTCCCGGGCGTGCCAGGAAGCGACTCAGGACCTGCCCCGAGGTTCTCCCTGAGCCGGGAGCGATTCCCAGAATTAGCCCCTCACCTGGAGAACTGGGAAAAACCGGGAAAAAACGGGAAAAGCCCCCAAAATCACCGGGATCGCGATGGGCACAGCCGGGAGACCCCCCCCAAATAACCCAGGAGGAGAAGGAGGAGGAGGAGGGAGGTGCGGGATTCCAGCGGTTCCTTGGGGGACACCCGGGAAGGTCCCAGCTCCTCCCAGTTGTGTCCCAGTTCTCCCCCCAGTTGGGACCCCGACTCCCTCAGAATTCCCAATTTCCCGATTTTCTCCCGGGATATTCCCCCAAAAACCCGTGCCAGGACCCCCCTGCCCCAAATTTCCGAGGGAACCGCTGAGGTCAGAATTTGAATTTCCTGAATTTCCTCCTTTTCCGGCTCCCACATTCCCGAGCGTGGGATGGGAGGGGGCCCGGGATGGGGACATTTGGGGACATTTCGGGCGCGGCACACACACACACACACACACACACACACAAAGACTCCTCTGCCAGCATGACCCCGAAATTCCCACAGAATCCGTGGGAAAAGCTGCGAGGAGGGGCTGGAAAAGGGGTCGGGATTCTGGGGAGGGGGCTGGGATGGAGGAGCTGGAATTTGGGGGGGATCCCCAGAGGGACTGGGATACGGGGGGGAGCCCCAAAAGGAGGCAGGAACCCCCAACCCCCCCCCAAAATAAAAACAACATCCATGGAAAAAATCCCTTTAATGGCCACAGCAGAATTCCCGACGGGAGCGGGGGCAGATCCCGACCAGAGGGGCTGGATCCAGCCTGGGGGGGTGCAAATCCCACCCGAGGGGGGCAAATCCCACCTGAGGGGGGGCAAATTCCACCTGGGGGGGCTCCAGGAAATCCTTTCAGGACACCCGACGGGAGCGGGGGCAGATCCCGACCAGAGGGGCTGGATCCAGCCTGGGGGGGGGCAAATCCCACCTGGGGGGGGCAAATCCCACCCGAGGGGGGCAAATCCCACCTGAGGGGGGGCAAATTCCACCTGGGGGGGCTCCAGGAAATCCTTTCAGGACACAGAGAGGGGACAAAACCTCACTGCGCCGCGCTGTCCCCAAATCCCTTCCTGATGGGATCCTGCCCCATGGGGGGGACAAATGCCACCCGAGGGGGCACAAACGCCACCGGGGGGGTGTCAGGCGGCCCCGGGGGCGTCCCGGTGGGGCAGGGAGAAGGGCACCAGGGGCGAGTAGCGCGTGTCGTGCCACAGCAGCCGCTGCTCCAGGAAGGCGACGGCGTCCAGGGTCAGCACCAGCGTCTGGTGCTTCAGCAGGCTGTGCACGTTCAGCCCTGGGGACGGTTTGGGGACAGTTTGGGGACATCAGCGGGGCGCCCAGAGCGCCTGGGGGGGGGGCAAAGCGAGGGGAGGGGCTCACCCAGGGCGGGGATGAGGGTGATGGATTTGAGCCCCTCGACGGCGGCGCTGATGTTCTCCGGGAATTCATTGCTGGGGGGAAAGGGGGGGGTGTCCCCAAGGTGTCCCCAAAGTGTCCCCAGGGTAGCCACCCAGGCCTGGCGTCCCCAGGCTTGTGGTGATCTGTCTGTGATGTCCCCAGGGTGTCCCCGGCTTCATGGACATCCCATTCCCAGTGTCCCCACTGTCCCCAGCAGCACCCAGTGTCCCCAGCTCTGTCCCAGTGTCCCCAGCCCCATTCCCAGTGTCCCCAGCCCCATTCCCAGTGTCCCCAGCCCTGTCCCCAGCCCTGTCCCGTGTCCCCAGCCCCATTCCCAGTGTCCCCAGCCCTGTCCCAGTGTCCCCAGCCCCGTTCCCAGTGTCCCCAGTGTCCCCTCTCACGTGTCCACCAGCAGCACCGAGTGTCCCCAGCGCCGGGCCCGGGCCAGCTCCAGCAGGTACCGGGGGTCGCTGCTGGGCATCTCCAGGCTGTCCACCACGTGCAGCTCGTCCTGTGTGACACCGGGGACACTGCCACCCTGTCCCCAGCCCCGGCTGTCCCCAGCCCCCCGGGCCACCCCCGTACCTGCATCAGCTTCACGCTCAGGGCCACCTTCAGCCCCAGCACCCGCACCCGCATGGGCACCATGTAGAAGTAGCTGGTGGGGCCCCGCGGGCCGTGGGCGATGCCACCTGCCAGGAGGGGACATGGTGACATCCCCGGGCAGGGGACAACCCCCCCGGCCTGGACCGAGGGGGGCAGCCAGGCCTGGTGTCCCCAGGGTGGCCCAGGGTGTCCCCAGCGTGTCTCCAGAGATCCCAAAGCAGGGGCAGCCAGGCCTGGTGTCCCCAGGATGTCCCCAAGATGGGCCCGGGTGTCTGCAGGGTCTCCCAGAGACCCCAAAGCAGGGGCACCAAACTCTGATGTCCCCAGGGCAGTTCCTGATGTCCCCAGGGCAGTCCCTAGCCCTGTCCCCAGCACGTCCCCATCGCATCCCCAGGCTGTCCCCAGCCCCATGTCCTTGTCTCCAGCCCCGTGTCCCTGTCCCCATCCCCATCCCCAGCCTGTCCCCAGGTTGTTCCCAGCCCCGTGTGTCCCTGTCCCCACCCCTGTGTTCCTATCCCCAGGCTGTCCCCATCCCCATGTCACTGTCCCCAGGCTGTCCCCAGCCCGTCCCCCCGTGTCCCCGTCCCTGTCCCGGTGTCACTCACCGCCCCTCCAGAGCGGTAGGATATTCCCAGGCTGTCCCCATCCCCGTGTCCCTGTCCCTAGCCCGTCCCCATCCCCAAACCCATGTGTCTGTGTCCCCAGCCCCATGTCCCTGTCCCCAGGCTATCCCTAGCCCTGTGTCCTGTCCCCATCCTCATCCCCATCCCGTCCCCAGGCTGTTCCGAGCCCCATGTCCCTGTCCCCAGCCCGTCCCCCCGTGTCCCCGTCCCTGTCCCGGTGTCACTCACCGCCCCTCCAGAGCGGTGACCGCGTGGAGCCGTGCCGGGCGCGCCCGGAGCCCTTCTGCCGCCAGGGCTTGCGGCCGCCGCCCCGCACCTCGGCCCGGGTGCGCACGCGCGCGTAGCTCTGGGCCCTGTGGTGGCCCTGTCCACTGTGTCCCCACCATGGTCCCTGCTGTGCCCAGGGTGTCCCCAGCCCCTGGCACTGTCCCCAGGGTGTCCCCAGCACTGTCCCCAGGGTGTCCCCAGCCCCTGGCACTGTCCCCAGCACTGCCCCCAGGGTGTCCCCGCTGTCCCCAGCCCCTCACTCACCCTTGCGGGGCTCGGGGGCCGCGGGCGGGGCCGGGGGCTCCGTCGAGAGCTGCGGGACGGCGACATTGGGGACAATGAGCGGGGGCGGCACCAACCACGGGCTGAAGGGAGGGGGGGACACGACCCCCGCCCACCCCCCCCAGCCCCGCTCCTGGGCGCACGGGGACACGGCAGCTCCGCAGCACCGGGGGCTCCTCTGGGGACAGGGGGCACGTGGGGATGGGGACAGCGGGGCACGGGGGGTCCCGGCACGCCCCCAAGGACAGACAGCCAGGGCTGATGTCCCCAGGGTCACTCAGATGTCCCCAACCCTGTGGTGGCCCTGTCCACCATCTCCCCACCATGGTCCCTGCTGTCCCCAGCCCCTGGCACTGTTCCCAGGGTGTCCTCAGGGTGTCCCCGCTGTCCCCAGCCCCTCACTCACCCTTGCGGGGCTCGGGGGCCGCGGGCGGGGCCGGGGGCTCCGTCGAGAGCTGCGGGACGGCGACATTGGGGACAATGAGCGGGGGCGGCACCAACCACGGGCTGAAGGGAGGGGGGGACACGACCCCCGCCCACCCCCCCCAGCCCCGCTCCTGGGCCCGTCCGGGACCCCCGAACCCCCCCCGGCCAAGATCCCACTTGGGTCCGCCCCAAACCCCGCCCCCCCGCCGTGGGCCCGCCCCCTCCTGGGCATAGCGCCTAGTCCCATTCCCAGTTCCCATTCCCAGTTCCCAGTTCCCATTCCCAGTTCCCATTTTTCCCATTCCCAGTTCCCATTCCCATTCCCAGTTCCCAGTCCCAGTCCATTCCCACTTCCCATTTTTCCCATTCCCAGTTCCCAGTCCCCATTCCCAGTTCCCATTTTTCCCATTCCCAGTTCCCATTCCCAGTTCCCGTTTTCCCCCAAATTCCCGGCAGGATTCGCGGGCTGGGATTGCTGGGGGAATTCGGGAATCCTTTTTTTTCCCCCACTTTTTTTCCCCTTTCCCCCCCTTTTTTCCCTTTTTCCCTTTCCCCCCCTTTTTTCGGGCCGGGGGGTCCCGGGAGGGCCCAGGGATGGATCCGGGGATGATCCCGGGCGGGACCCCCGGGGATGGATCCCGGTGGGATTCCCTGGGGTGGGACCCCAGCCCGGGTCCCGGGGCTGGATCCCGGGGCGATTCCCGGTTCGGGATCCCGGGGCAATTCCTGGGGCAATTCCCGGGATAAATCCCGGAGCGATTCCCGGTTCGGGATCTCAGCTCAGGATCTCGGGGCCAGTTCCCGGTTTGGGGTCCCGGTTTGGGGTCCCGCTGCGGTTCCTGGGGCACAATCCCAGCCCCGGATCCCGGGGCACGATCCCAGGGCGGTTCCCAGTTCGGGATCCCGGCTTCTGGGGCAGGATCCCAGTGCAGGGTTCCACTGTGGGACCCCGGGGCCGCTCCCGGTTTGGGACCCCGGGGCTGATCCCGGTTTAGGATCCCGGGGCCGTTCCCAGTTTAGGATCCCGGTTGGGGACCCCGGGGCCGCTCCCGGGGGTCCCGCCGCCCCCGGCCCCGCCCGTTCCCCCCGCTGGCTCCGCCCGGGGCAGCCCGAGCCGGGGGCGGGCGGCCGAGGGGGAGGGGAAGCGGG